TAAATGTCCACACGGCTCATTTTGTCTCTTTAAACGAGCATAACACATCACAGATCAGGGTGTTGGTTCTAATAGGGAACCATTGTTGTGCTTAAAGTAATAACCAAGTTATTTACAGCTGTGTGCAACAGATAAAAGCTAAACTGAGGAACAAACAGAGGTCTCCTGTGTTAAAATTCAATATTTTATTGGATAAATTTGTCAAATTCTGGCTCTCCAGCTGCTGAACGTTCCACTTTATTAACACTTTAGTGGCTAACTCTGTCTCTTTGTGCAGAGCAGTGCTTCTTTTTTTAGAGATTCTCGCATTGCTGCGCTGGAAAATGATGCCATGAGAGCAGCGAGAGTGAACAAAAACAATAAAGATGCAGGCCAGACAACTGAATAATGAGCTGAAACACACTATGCGGCTATAAAGCCCCGTAAGAGTGAGGGGAAACTTCAGATTCAGGTGATAAATCTCTGTAGTTGCGACGCTACGAGTGACTCTCTTCACATTGTCGTCCGTCTTAAAACACTGCTCCTGTACTTGTGCACGCTGAAGTAGTTTCTGATCACTGTAATCATTCCTCTCGGCTGCACTGATCTCGAAAAGATTGTTATTAATGCTACATAAAATTGCATATGTACCTGGATACCTCTGAATAATGGGACTCTGCAATTACAGCTGCTGTAAGTGTTGTTATTTCCATTCTCAGACATTGGGTTGTGGCTTATGTTCCTATTACTTACAGTGAAATAGCTTTAGTAATAGATTTCTTTCGTGGCCAGTGTGGAAAACAGAGACCACTACCACCAATTAAACCATTGTTCATATAGTACAGTGTTCTCCCTGAGTAGCCCCTCTTGTCCATTACAGAATCCCTGAAATGTCCAAGAACTCCCCAGAACGCCTCTTGTTTCACTATATGCGTGATTCAAGTCACGCCGAGCTGAATCGATTATCTCCATATCTCTGCTATGATCTGATGAGGCAAAAACAAACAAAAAAAGAAATCTCTACATCCACATCAAAAATGTTCCCGGCTTTGTGAGAGCGTCGTGTGTCGGAGCGACCGCGTAGCGCCGGCACTGACCTTTCTTCACGCAGGTAATTTTTTGCCCTCCTGAGGGAAAGAAAGATGGAGCGAGGGGAGAAAGAGAGACGGATGGGAGGCAATCGATTTAACAAGAAAGGACTTTTACAATGACGTGAGTGAAATATTCTGATGGTTAGATTTTGAACTGATGCGCTGGGATTCGGGGAAATGCGTTTACAGCAGGGAGAGCTTTAAATAAAGGACAAATGACCAAAGCTTACAACAGTTGCAGTAGCTCCTGGTGCAGGCATGTCAGAACTCACTGGGTTTTGTACATTTTTGATGAGCACCAGGCAGTATAGAGCTCATAATGTAAATTTGTTTTGTGGTGTTGCTTCCTTTACTGATGCACTGTGTTTGAGGAAATAATTGAAAAAATGATGACTTTATCTATAGAAGGACCTGTTCAACCTGTGACTGATTGTTGTTCGTGGCAGAATCAAACGCCAAAATAAAAATAATCAGTGATATACAATATTCTGGATGCTATCACAGTTTTCTTGTTCGGGTCTATGCTGCTAGTGTGCCATTTCCTCGTTTGCTGATAGCTTTTATGATAAATTTAACAAATTGTCATGAGCTAATCTGTCATTCAATGCTCGGACAAACTTTAACCAACAAAGTGGACGCTGGTGATGCAGCTATAGTCCCTGTTCTGACGGGAAGAGGAAGGATTTCCAAGCAGGAGGAATCAAAACGGACACTGAATCACTTTTCATTGCAGTGAATTTTATCTTTCCGGCTCGCTGTTTGATTAATATTTTCACATAAACCTTATCTGATGATGAAAATAATGGATAGAGTTCATAAAAAGGAAGGTAAATGAGAATTTTAATATGAAAATTTATCAGCAAATTTCAGCAAAAATTGGATTTATTGAAAAAAAAAAAAAAAAGCCGTCTGGCAAAATGAAAATGAGGCATTTTCCGCATCTTAATCAGCACATGGTTCAAACTTTGATATGTTAATATCTGCTAATGATTCCCAGATGAACTTCAGCTATTAGTGCAGTTTGAGTGATTTCCAATTAGCAGAGGCCGATAACATCCTTTGTGACTGTGTGATCGTGAAGCGAAGCGTCCGCCAGCTACTTTTTTTTTTTTACAGAAACACCAATCCCACACCCCAAGGACCACAGACAGACGAGCAACGCAGCGACAGAAGGGAAAAAAACGTCCCTCCTGAAGGACTTTCATGTAGTCCCTGTGCATTTCTGAATCTGACAAGTGAATTTAGGGGAAAAATTGGAAAAGAGAGTGCGAAACACTTTTTTACACCTTCTGTTTGAAACCTGTGTGATAGCCTCTTTTTATGTTTTTTTTAAATAAAACTCTTTAAAGTTTACATCCCAGGCTTGCTTACCCCAAAGTAGCTCTCGTTCCCGGATTCCCACAGCACCACCAGGTCGGCGTTGTTGAGCTCGCCGCGGTCGGACATCCCCAGGACGACGCCGTGCCTCAGCTTCGCCACCCTCAGCTCCATGTAGATCTCCTGGGTGGCGTAGCTGATGTTCCAGGCCAGCTGGAGCTCCCTCCGTGGGTCCAGGGGAACTCGGAAAGGCATGGGGAGAGGTGGCAGAGGGCTGGAGGTGTCCGGCTTCAGGCTGGACACTTTGACGACGTTGGCGGGCGCCTGGTACGAAGCCACCAAGATGACCATCAGAGCAGCCAGGGCGGTGAAGTACATGATGGTGACGTCCTGAAGGCGAAGGTGCTTGTTGAGGATCCTCATGACGATGGGTCAGGTTTTCTTCCTACCACTTCCTCAGTCTCTTTAGCCAAAGTTGAATTCAATCCAAAAAGTTGCGGGGAAACTTTTTCTCCGGTGCTGGAGTTCTGCAAATTCTCCAAACACTCACTCGGTTTGTCTTCTTTGCTTCCAGGCCACAGCAGACTCCGTCTCAGTGGTCAGGTGGGAGCCGTTTCATTCTTTCCTGTTTTCTATCCTCTCAGGCTCTCGTTTTTTTTTGAAAAAGTTTGACTTCCTTTTGCGAATCCCCCAATTTTCCAGTCTTTAGCTTTCTTCTGTTAGCGGGCCCTTGTGGGCTTTTTTTTGTCTCTTTCCTCTAAGCAACTGCTCGCTGTCTCTCCGTCTCATCCACCTCTCTGGTTTTTAAGAGACTCCTCCCTTGCCGGTTGTCTGTTTTTATCTAGACTAATGGTATTACATTTATTGAGGAAAATTGAATTGTGTTCTTTAAGCCCTGGGGTCAACCATGATCCTGCACATCTGCTCGACCCTAATTGATCCAAATTCAACCATGGACATTATCAATGACAATCAGCTTCGACTAACTAAACTTTATTGCTCACTCCATCTCCGTCTTTTTTGTTTTTTTTCTTTTGCTTTGCTGAGCATACGTCTTGCATCTCCTTCTACATTATTTCACACGCTATAGCTCCTCTACTTGACACTTGGGATGTTTGATTCAAGTGGATTTAAGAGTAAGCAAGCGCTGATGGAGGTGTAAACAAGGCATTAACGCATTAGGCCCTTTCCTTTAAGCCATCGCCTAAGGCTGCAGAAGACCTAATCAAACCGTCAATTACAGGCTTCGAAAGCAAAAGGGATATGGTGTAAAAGGTTAGTGAAGTCCCTCTGGACAGCCGTGTTTGTGTCTGTCGGGTTAAAAAAACAGGCGAGCTGCATCGGACAAATAGATCGGAGAGGACGAAACGCTGTTGTTTGGCCTGTTCCCACCTTTCCAGGAGGGTGTGGAAACGTTGGCCAGAGGATGGAGGAGGGTTGTCAGGGGTCGCGGCGCCGTGACAGGTGACTTTCTTGCTGAGAGTTGGAGGAAATCGTCGAGCACAGTTCACCCAAACTGAAGAGACAAAGGAGGGCGGTCCACCGGCTGAGGGTGTAAATATGTCACTCTGGTTTAAATGCAGCAAAACAGAAAACCGAAAACACGCACGGTCCAACTTAGTGCAATAATGTGCTGCTGTACAGAACCTGCTTCCTACAGGTTTAATAGGTTGTTTTCGCAGGAGACAGTTTGTCTCAGAAGGAGAGTATTGACGGAGTTCCATTTAGCTGCTTGCTTTCAGGATCCGGGTTTATCGGCACGCTGTCACGACTTAATGAGACGTTCGAAGAGAAAGGAGTCGTTCTTAATTTTCTTACCTGAGCTTGTCCTACATTGTTGACACTTTTCCTTAAAATAACGTTTTTGATCCATTTGGAAACCAAAGCCTAGATGCATAACAAAATCTGCAAAGGCAAATAAATGTAAATAAGTTTTAATAATAAAGGAAAATGGTGATCTGGACATTATGGCATCACAACTTTTTAAAAAATGTTTGTTATACTTTTTAAAAAGTGACCGAGCTGCAGTGACGGACAGCCGAGAACCCAGCAGTGTTACATTTATGTCTAGTTAAAGCACAATTCTGACCAAATGCAGCTTTGTAGCAGTAAAATGCTGACTTCCAGTGTGGTATTAAATTATTCTGACAGCATGTTGGAAATGCAACTTTAACTGTAATTTAATTTGGCAGGAGCTTTCCTACGGAGATGATTCAGTAGATTTCAAGGTGAATTATGAAAACTTCTGTGGTGTTCAACCAACAAACTACACTGAGTTATGAGAATTAGCTTTACCTCTATAATAAAAGGTATATACTGTCCAGGCACGTTAACATAGATTAAATGTCATCAAGCCAGTTTCATCAACTTGAATTTAGTTTCCAATCAGCTCATGCATACGTCTGAGTTTAAGTCACACACAGTATTAAGTTGATGCAATTACCCACCTTATTGTGTCAACACAAACCCATCAAAATAATGTTTGTGGCCTAAAAGGTTTGTTTAAATCTGCAAATTGGATTTTTGACCTTGCGGCCATGTATTTAATTAAAAGCTGGAAATGGGTCATTTGAATTACTTTTTCAGAGCGATGCGGTGAATGCAAATTCTGCCTTTTTGTTTGATTCAATTTTGTAACATGATGTCAAACCGCTGAGTTTTTCTTCCGGAAGAGGCTCATAAAGGGTTTGGACCAGAGCAGACAACAGAGAGCAGAGCAGAGAGGCTGGCGTTGTGTCTGTTAATGTAATAAAGACTCGGTCCCCGAGGCAAAAGCAGAGATCTGCGTGTCCCTCTAATGTCTCCAGCCTTCACGAGGGGATCGGCAATCTTCTCTCTTTCCCCTCTACGTGTCTCGATGTTTTGTTTCTTTTTAATCTTTTACACCATCTCACTTCAGCCTCTTTACCCGTCTTGTTTCTGCTCCATCACGCCGCTCTGCGTTGCGGCTGATCAGCCTCTTTCACTCACTTCCTGCTGTCTCATATCTCTTACATGCACGGTTATCTTTCTGCTGCCGCGACTGATGTGTCAGCAAACACAAACGAGATGAGACGCCGTAAAGTCAGCTGTGATCTGGAGGGAAAGGGAGAGAGTGAGGGGTGGGGGAGGGAGGGAGGAACAGATTTAGGGAAAACTATGCTCCTTTGTGCGCTCATGCTTGGAGTTTATGCAAAAAGCCTGAGGTTTTAATGTGACATTATCCTGCCTACAACGATCCAGATCTTGCCCCCGTCTCTTACCCACCATGCATTGCTTTGGGTTTAGGACAAACAAAGGCACAGGCACACAGAAAAACAGTATCTGAGCATCTCTGCAACTAATTAAACATCGCTCATGAACGTATCTTTTATGTTTTGTGAAGAGTGTAATTGCGTTTTGTGATAGTATGCTATAGACAGCACTGCACCTGGAGTCTGCTTGCGTTGTATTGTTAGTGAACTTACAGGCTCTGATTTATTACTAGGTTTGTAAAACAGTGTATATTGTGTTTTTATTTACATATTGGGAAGTGGAACAAAATATCATAGCAACATATTTCAGTATAAGTCTAGTTTGCCCAAAAACCAGCAGTTCGCCTCAGTAATGAACCCAGAATGGATCAGCAATTGAAAAAGATTATCCTGAGCACAGAGATGGAGACCAACCACTACAATACAATACTATTTCATTTGCGCATATTTGAGAGTAGATCACATTCATACACCGATGGCGACGGAGCTTCCATGCAAGGTGCTGCCTGCCTTTGGGAGCAACTTTCGGGTTCAGTGTCTTGCCCAAGGTGGCTCAGTGGTTAGCATCGTTGCCTCACCGCAAGAAGGTCGCCGGTTTGCGTCCTGGTGGGGACACCCGGGATCTTTCTGCGTGGAGCTTGCATGTTCTCCCCGTGCAGCGTGGGTTCTCTCCGGGTTCTTCCTTCCACAACGTCCAGAAACATGTTGAGGTTAATTGGTGATTCTAAATTGTCCGTAGGTGTGAATGTGAGTGTGCTTGGTTTCACTGTCTCTAAGTGTAGCCCTGTGATAGACTGGTTACCTGTCCAGGTGAACCTGCCTTCACCAGCTAGAATAGGCTCCAGCCCACCATGACCCTAGTGAGGATTAAGCAGTGTATAGATAATAGATGGATGGATGTCTTGACCAAGGACATTTCGACTGTAGAGGGGCCGGGGATCGAACCACTAACCTTAGAGGACAACCGGCTCTACCTCCTGAGCCACAGCCGCCCAACCACTGTTCTTCTAGCGAAATAACAATGCAGCAATTTTAAGTACATTGATTAAACACAAGTTTTTGTTTTTTTAGAAATATACAACTTTTACAATAAAGCACGGTAAACTTAATTAGTTTTCTTGTTTTGTTTTACACAGGATACCTGAACAAAACAGACCGAATGCGTTTACGTCCATCAGTTTTTAATTTGCACTCTAAAACCTGAGAGGGGAAATATTATAAGAAAAAGCGTTTCAAAAGACTTTGGGTAAATTATGAAAGTGGGTTTATTGATATAAGAAAAATGCAGCGAGGCAGCGTTCGGTAAATACGTCTGGATATGCAGGAAACATAAATTCCCACCGAAGAAATAAAAAAAAAAATAGCTGCAAGCAAAAACAACAGATCTGTTCATCCATGAGAAGATAGTAATTTTCCTCAGATATGAAACAATTATAATATTTGAATCATTTTCTAATGTGCTTTACACTATTTGAGGTTAGCGCTCTTGTACTTTTGTCTTCTTGTTGTTTAATGGCACTTGACTGGATAATCAGCAGCATTAGGTTGTGGATAGAAAAATGGAATAATTCATCGTTGATTCAGATTCATTTGTTCTACATTCAGATGAAAACATTCTTCATACAGGATGTGTGTTAGTTTATAATGTCCTCAAAGTGAGCCTATGTAACGTTTGCCGTGCAGCAGCTATAATGGCCTTAAGTGATAATAATATGTAACTGACTCAGGAGAGTATTTGATATGTCTATTTAAAGTAAAAAACACATTAGTCACTGTGAGTTAGAACCAGAGCAAGAAAAACTGCAAAGCCCCAGAATGAACCGAGCGAGAGCGCTTTGTTGTTCATGAAGTCAAATTGTCTGTTACTCGTAGAAGACTGTGGTATTTCTTGTTTCTAAAATTGCATAATCTCACTTTAACTGCAAACTCTAAGGGGCCCCTGAGGGCGCGGGGCCGAGTGGTGGCAGTCCACTTCTGCTCCACTGTTTGCTAATCCAGCCTTTGCATAAAGATTGCACTCAACTGTATTAAACTACACCAAATCTGATGTTGTTATATAATGCAATGAAAGCTTCAATTCTGCTATTGAGTCCGACTTGATTTGTAGCCAATCAAGAGCAGAAGTTGTCAATAAGAGGTGATGCATAAGAGATGCCACTCTGACATTCATCAGTGCGAACACACTCACAAAGAAAGGCGGAGAAGGATGAAAGCAGGATTCACCTCGACGTGACCAATCCAACCATCTCATTCTCTGCTAATATAAATATTTCAGCACCGCCGACTCTCAAAGTGCACTAATCTCCACTTCTGTGAGTCTGAATAATAAATGCAATAAAAACTCACACGGCTACACTGAACATCGCCTCAAACTGGCCCCAGTCTGATCTGAACGGGTGGAGGGGAGCGGTTGTAGGGCTGGATGGGATAATTGGAGGAGATGATGAGTGAAGAGAAAGAGAGATGGAGATGGAGGGGGGAAAAAAGTGGTGGAGGAGTTGGGA